ATGGAATTGGACGACAATTTGTGGAAAATGGTGTTATTTGGCTTTTGGGTTGGCCGTTGAACTATTCCAGAAGCTCCTACATTATTCTCTGTCTTTTTTACAAATTGTACTACCAATAAATGTAGAAATTTCATAAAATTAAATGTCATATGGAAACAAATTTTCAGAATTGTTGTGAACTGTGTCTTTCATTAATAGGATAGGAGATATATATACAAGGATAATAGCAGGATACAGAGAATAAGGTAAAATCCTAATGGGTTATGGGCCGGTTATGGAGTCCATCCATATGGTTTATAACACTCCCCCTTGGAAGACATAACCGTGGCCGATACTAAACCAGGATCTCTATAATGCGCTGGGGAATGTTGCCTCATTAAAACCTTACCAGGAAAACCCAGTGGGACAAAACCATGGTGAAGGAAAAAGAGTACAACACGCATTACTCCCCCTGATTTGAGCATCACTGTAGATCCTTAAGTCCGCGCATCCCGATCTGATGAATGAGCTTCCGGAACGTTGAAGTCGGCAATGATTTGGTGAATAGGTCGGCTGAATTCTCACTTGACCGGATCTGTTGAACTTTGACCTGACCGTCCTTCTGTAATTCATGAGTGAATAAGAGCTTTGGCAAAATGTGCTTCGTCCGGTCTCTCTTAGTGTAGCCGTCCTTGAGTTGAGCAATACAGGCTGCGTTGTCTTCAAATATGATGATCTTTGATGTAGTAGTAGATGCGTCTTAAGGAAGGCTGCCTACGTACCCTTGGAAAGGATCAAGCCACACATAGTTCCTATTCATTGCTCATACCATAATCTGATCTTATGAATATCCTACATTAGTAAATCAAACTAAACCAAAGCAAACTGGACCTTCTTTGGTTAGATCAGTATAGAATAAACCCAAGTAAACAACGCAGGAAGAATAGACTTTAAAACTTAATCAAACCTTCCTTTAAACCTTTCCAGTGCCTTTGGGTTGATCATGAACTAAATTTAGACAGGAGACTCACGGCAAAACAAATGTTTGGTCTAGTGTGTCTAGCCAAATTCATTAGAACTCCTATGGCACTGAGGTATGGCATTTCCGGACTGAATGGATCACTATCCAATCTGAGGCTTCTCACCACCATTGGGCCTGGTCAATGGGCGGGCCTGGTCCTTATTAAATCTCCTTGAGTACTCTTTCAGTGTATGCCATTTGATGCACAAGGATTCCATTATTCACGTACTCAGGTTGTAATCCCAAACAGAACTTAATTATTGCCTAGGTCTTTCATTTGAGATTCTTTTCTTTAGATATACTCAACTGTTTGGGCAATTACCCAGAGGTTTAAATCATTCATATACACTGCTATGATTACAAATCCTTTGTTTTTAAACTTCTTGATAAAAATACATAGACTGATCGGATCGTTTTTATAGCCTTCTCTGATGAGATATTCGCTTAACCGGTTATACCACATACGTCCGCTTTGTTTCAGTCCATATAAGGATTTGTCCAGCCTTATGCAGTGCTGTTCTCGAGAATCTTTCTTATCTTTGAGCTCAATACCCTCTGGTAATCTCATATATTATCCAGTGGACTTATATAAATATGCAGGCATTACATCCATTAGCCGCAAATCTTTCTCTTTTATATAGCCAGACTTAGCAAAGATTTATATGTCTTAGCATCCACCACATGGGAGTATATCTCCTCTATTTCTGGTCTTTGTGTGAATCCTTGTGTGACAAGCCGTGTCTGATATATCACGCTTTCACTATGTTTATTTCACACTATCACAAAGACTCATTTGTCCCACTGGCTTTACATTGAATGGTGTCCTTTGTATTGGACCAAACACATTCTTCTTCTTAATGATTCTTAGCTCCACGTTTTATGGTCTTGTACCATTTTAATCAATCAGGTCTTTGAGTGCACTCTAGTATAGACGTGGGCTCCTGATCCTCATTCATTTCAGTTGCTACCTTGTGCGCAAATATATTATCATTTATGTCGACATTTTTTCGGTTCCATTATATTCTAGACATGATATAGTTTATAGAGGTCTCTTTACACCTTCAGGACCTTGAGGTTTGGCGTCCCAAACCTCATTGATTGGTACCTTAGGGTTATGTCTATTAGCCGGCCATGTCTATGGTTTCTTGAACCTTCTCGGTTTCCCTTGCACCTTTCTTTGATTTCCGAGGGTTCTTGTCTTTGGAACCTTTTGGGTCTACCACGTTTCTTACGTATTGTAGCCTCTGTAGCAACTTGATTATGTTCCTTGTGAACATCAATATATACTGGTGCATTACAAGCTGGTATGTACGATTTTGTTACTCTCTTTGGGTCATTATAGGAATCTTGGCAATTGTTTTAGCTAGCTTTTGCAGATATATAGTCTTTTGGATCTCTGATGGAGTCCGAGGATCTTGCCATGTGAAGGATGTTTGATTCCATTTAAGTTCTTTGACCAGCTTGTTAGTCTCTCCACCCAGTGTTGGGAAAACAGATTCATTGAGATGACAATCCTGTATCTGGCCTTTGGCTCGAGATACTTAATGATGATGGGAGAATCATTTTTAACATATATTCCCATCCCCTTTTGAGGTCCCATCATTTGCTCTCTGTGGTGGTGCTATGGATAAATAGGTGACACACCCAAATGTCTTTAGATGGGAAACGTCTGGCTCATGACCCGTTAGCAATTGGGATGGGGAATATCTATGCTCACTAGATGGCCGAATGCGTATTAGTTCAGTAGCGTGTAAAACTGCATGTCCCCAAGCTGAGACCGGAAGCTGCGACCTCATGAGTAATGGTCGAGCAATTAGTTGAATTCGTTTAATGAGGGATTCAGCTAATCCGTTATGTGTATGGAGATTTGCCACAGGATGTTCCACACTTACCCCCATGGCCATACAATAGTCATTAAATGCTTGGGAAGTGAATTCACCAGCATTATCTAAACGTATGGTCTTAAGAGGAAAATCTGGAAAATGGGCTCGCAATCTGATGATTTGGGCCAATAACCTAACAAACGCTTGGTTCCTAGAAGACAATAGGCAAACATGCGACCAGCGGGTCGATGCATCGATTAAAACCATGAAGTACCGAAATGTTCCACAAGGTGGATGGATCGGACCACATATGTCTCCTTGAATTCGTTCCAGAAAATGTAAGGTCTCTTTAGACACTTTGACTGGTGAAGGTCGAGTGATAAGCTTCCCTTGTGAACAGGCTATGCACGTGTGGTGCTTAGGGAAAACTCGGTTTTCTTTAAGGGTGTGCCCTTTAGAACTTTGAATTAATTTACGCATCATATTAAGAATCCTCTGGACCTCAGGACAGAGTTGAAAAAAAAAAAAAAACGGTGCTATTACCCAAAAGCCCGATTCGATCGAAAGAATCTCAGATTCCAAGAATTCAAATCCATGAATGAGTATAACTCAGCACTATTTAAAATAGTGTCAATACTGAGATTCCGTGGTGAGGAAATTACTGAGAATGACTTGCTAAAGAAAGCATTCTCGACCTTTCACACAAACAATATATTGCCTCAGCAACAATATCGTGCTGATAACGTGTTGTGAACTGTGTCTTTCATTAATAGGATAGGGGATATATATACAAGGATAATAGCAGGATACAGAAAATAAGGTAAAACCCTAATGGGTCATGGGCCGGTTATGGAGTCCATCCATATGGTTTATAACAAGAATCTAATAGTTGAATTTGTTTGTTGTGGATATTAGGGTTCAGGGTAGGTGATTCGGTCACTAGGGAATGAACATGATTCGACTTCGTTCGGTGTACACGGAATAGGTACTGAAGAGGAGGATTGTTCTTGATCGAAAGTTTTATGAAAGATAAATGGAAGAGAGATGTTGAACATTGATATTCGACCATTTTCGGAATCTAATAGTTGAATTTGATGGTTGTGGAGAACGAACATGAATCGACTTCATTCGGGTATACGGAATTGGTTCTTTAATTCGACTGTCGATTTGCCTTATGTTATCGCATTCACACTGAAGTATTGCATTCTTTTTATAGTACAGTTAAGATCAACTGCTCATTATATGATAACAATGAACCAATCAAGGTTAAGCCTCCTCTTCGTCGCCAAGATTAGAGTTCACTTTTTCCTTACAAATATCACAAGTAATCTCATATGGCTGTCCTTCCAATTTGGTCACACCAAGATCACCATTCTTGATCAAACTAGATTGCTAACATCATCAAATCACATAGGTAACATGACTTATCAATCCCTGATCGAATCAATTAGTCTCACTAATTGGTTTGATCATTTTTCTTAATCTTTGCATTTAAGCTGTTTTCCTTTGTTAAAACCAAGATTCACTATTTAAAAGCCATGATTTGTTCCAGACACTGTCTTGATTATGAATAGGAATTTCTCTTAGAGCAATTTTTGCTTCTCGTTGACACTTATATCAGAGTTGTCTTAACCACAGTCTTGTGGTGTCTATCTATCCTTGAGTCATCATTCATTCGGATTTCTGACGAGTTAGCATCTAGGTATCTCAATCATAACCTAAGCCTTACCGGTCCTGAAGCTTATATAATATGACACTTGAATGTCTTTGCTACAGTGTCATCAAGAGCTCATTACTTATTCATCATGTCCGGAAACATTGTCTAGTGGTAATATAGAGAACACTATCTATCTACTCTATGTAAAATCCAAATGAAGGTTTAAATCATGGAATCAGCGGAACTGTAGAGGTATGAATCCAATTGCTTCAACAAAGACCACATGACAAATCTACGGAGGGGAATGTTTCCCAACTTATCCTTGATTATTGGTGCATAAAACTAAACCAGTGCATGTCAGAAATAAATACCAGATGTAAAATCGACAAAGGATCTGATTTAAAGGGCTAGTGTCAGGTTTCATAGCTTTTGATCAAAAGATAGAAAGCATAACTAAAGGCTGACCGCAACAATGTAAGCATTCCAAGAATCACACTGTTGAAAGCTCTTGACTTGTTCGTACTTGATATCACGTCCAGCACCAAACCCATCTGTTCTACGCATTTCAGAAGCGTCCGGCATTTCTCTGAGCCAGAAATGGACTGAGCTAAACCCAGCTTCCTCCATACAGTCCTTTATCTCCGGTAATGACCACCTACACATACATGAACAGACCAGGAATTACTTCTCAGGAACTTAATGTGATTCACAGATTCAAGAGTGCAAGTACAATAAATCTATGGACAATAAGGAAAGCAGGAATATTGTCTTGCCCGAATATAACATTCAATACCATTTCACTGCTACTTATTTGCTAACATATCAGCTACATTCGAGCACATGTTTGTGTAAGTTTTTATCCATAGTGGCTGCACTACAGAATCTCTACCACACCCAACCAACCAAAATAACCAAAAGCCAACGCTTATCAAGTTATCTAAAATGATAAGCAAACTCCTAAGTATTAAATATGCTGTTTTTCGTTACTGAGATTTTCTTAAGGCTTGTGGGAGATAGAGTAATGACTGTCCCACTTTGGAGAAAGAATGGATGTGGAAGCAGACTACAGGACACTTACAGTCTCCAGCTATATGAAAAAGCATGGCGAATCTTTCTGTTCTGCTTCTGAAGGTGATAGTGCAGACTGATCCTTGTCTTGCGACTTAAAATGTCAAACTCAGCCTGCTCCCATGTATACTGCCAAATGATATGGACAATCGTTAATACTGTTATTCCTATAAAGTTTGACACCCTTTTGTACCAAATGAAAGTATAAGAATGAATTCTTACAGTGAAATTTGGGAATTTCCGTTGAAGCTTCAACTGTCCCTCAGCAGAAGCACCTCCATATAAATCCATCACGAAAATACCACCTTTCTTGGACAAAGCATCACGTGCATTCTTGAAGTAAGAAACCAACTCCGAGCGTTTGTGGAGACAACAGCAACTAAAATTAAAAGCACACACGATATCCCTCTTCGGTAACGAATCAGGTCCATCTTTCTCTAAAGATTCGACAACGCTAGGATCAACCAAATCTTCATTATCATCACCATCATCCAAGCTTATATTTTGTATCAGCTCATGGGATTTAGATTTCACTTGCTTAGCCTCAAGAGGACTCAAAACATTCCCATGAAAAAGCGACATTCTTGAATACACGTCAGAACCAAGTTTACTAATGTTGTTATCCATGCACCATTCTAACGCCTCAAGGTCAAAATCTAGCCCTATAGCAGTCCGCCTTGTGTCAGTCTTGAGCCACTCCGCACTATTTAAACAATCAATGCAAAACTTATTCACCAACTACAGCATTCAAGAAACCAAAAGCTAAAATTTTCACCATTAAGTGAAACACACACCTTAAAAGAGCAGTGCCACAAAAATCTTCTTGAAAATGGAGAGGTTGTCTTCCACCAACATACATTAAAAAGAACTTCTGCAAGTAACTTATGTCTCCTTTTGGTGACTGCAGCAAACACATACAATACAATGAAAGACAAGAACAAATGTTAAAAGCTTAGTGCTTGATGAAAGAAGAAGAACAGTGAAACACACACAAGAACCACTCAATGGAATCTAAAAGGCTATAGGCACAGAATTGCAATTACCTGAACAGATTGTTGGTAAAGAAGAAACTTTGACGGCAAATCCGATGATTCGTTTCCTTCATTACAGTTTTCGTCTTCTTCTTCCTCAGAGTTTTCTTCATCTTCGTCGTCGACGGAGGCAACAACCGGCGGGTGTTGATCGTAGAAATCTTCAGTATCATTCGAAAATTCACCTTTGTGGCGACGTCGATTAGGTTTTTTCTCTCGTTTCCCCATTTGTCGTCCAAATTGGAATTCAAACCAGAGAATAGAGCAGAGGCTCAGAGCGAGGAAGAAGAGAAAAGCGTTGACTTTTGCGTTTAGTGTTGAAGAAAGTGCCCTAAACTATGCCACGTAGGCCCTATTGCTCTTGCGTTCCGTATACCGGTTTAGTGGTTTTTTTGTGATCAAAGACCGGTTTAGTGGTTCGGATGGTATTTATGTGGTTTTTTTTTTTTGGTTTTTTGATAACCACGTGGTTTAGACTTTAGAGCAACTTCAACTTAGGCCTGGACAAAAAAACCGTACCCGAGTACCCGAACTGAAACCGACCCGAAAAAACCGGTTCGGGGCGGGTACGGGTATTAGCTATTTATCCTATTGGGTCTTATATTGTCGTACCCGTGGGTATAGGGTAAAACCCGATCCGAACCCGATACCCGAACGGGTACCCGATTACCCGAAATTACTTATACTTATACATATAAAAACTTTATATATATGTAATATTTGAGCTAAATACATTTATATCCAAATATCCGAGAGTAATTACCAAAAATTAAATGCACTTATATTTATATATTTAAGACTAAATATATTTATACGCGAGATGCTTGTAAATTTTTTAAATATTTGGACAAAATTCTGGTTATTCGGATAAATTTTTGGGTGAAACTCGGATATTTGAGTAAAATTGCGGATAAAATTTGGATATTAGAGTAAAATTTCGGGTATTTGGTAAAATTTTGGGTATTTGGGTATAAAATACCAGAACCCGATGGATGCCCGATTTTTTCGGGTATTTAGCAGTTCTAAAAATCTAAACCTGAACCGACCCGAACCCGATTAGACCCGAACCGAAACCGAACCGATATTTTAGATTTACCCTATTGGGTCCTAAACTCCTCTACCCGAAAGACCCGTACCCGATCGGGTTTTACCCGAACCCGACCCGCATACCCGAATGCCCACCCCTACTAGATGGTGTTTCGGTGTGGCGAAAATGGTTTTCCCGGGTGTTAGATTATTGTTTTAATATCTATATATACATTTTTGGATCATAATTAGCAAATAAATCCTGAAGTTGAAAAGTATTTACAATGACATGCCACTAGCATTAATTATTTAGATTTATTTTATTTACGTAAAGATTTTTAATTGAAATTCATTTCTCATATATTTAGCAAAAGTCTCTACAAAATCTTTCCTTATCTATTTAAGTAAAGATTCTGAAATCAAATATGTTCTCAACAATTTACCAAAAATTTCTACACAATCTTTTTAAAAATCTCGACTTAGTTAACTTCTGATTTTTATCTGAAAAAAAAAATTAATTGTAACGAGTGATGTAAAAATCGGGAATGTTGATACTACAATTTCTTCTACTTCTTTTTTTCATATAATAAAAATTATCTATATATACTTAAAACCTCTAAACAAAACGGGTTTTATGGTGCAACGGGTTTAGATCAATATTAATATTAAACAATATATTATGGATGAAATCCTAGAATTAAAAATCAAAATTTAATTATAAAATCATAAACACTAAACAAAATAAACAATATTAACAAAACAAATACAACTTAAAATTTTGCAAAATAATTTTTTAGTTATAAAAAAATTGATCCGCGGTGTACCACGGGGTAAAATCTAGATTTAGAAGTTTAAGGAGAAATTTTTTTTAAAAAAATAGCTCCGCGGTGTACCACAAGAAAAATCTTTCTCCTAAACTGAGGCAAGAAGAAGAAGAAAGTCAAATGTCGTTTAAGTGTATATATAGATATACCATTTAAACCTAAAACACAATTAATATACTCAAAATTATTAATATAGATATATGGATGGTACATTTATAAAATAGGTCCAAATATTATATTATATACTCTCTATTAATAAACAAAACTAATTATATTTAGCTTTTTTTAAAAAAATTATAGCCCCGCGGTGTATGGCGGGTTCAAATCTATCTATATATACATTTTTGGATCATAATTAGCAAATAAATCCTGAAGTTGAGAAGTATTTACAATGACATGCCACTAGCATTAATTATTTAGATTTATTTTATTTAAGTAAAGATTTTTAATTGAAATTCATTTCTCATATATTTAGCAAAAGTCTCTACAAAATCTTTCCTTATCTATTTAAGTAAAGATTCTGAAATCAAATATGTTCTCAACAATTTACCAAAAATTTATACACAATCTTTTTAAAAATCTCGACTTAGTTAACTTCTGATTTTTATATGCAAAAAAAAAATTAATTGTAACGAGTGATGTAAAAATCGGGAATGTTGATTCTACAATTTCTTCTACTTCTTTTTTTTCATATAATAAAAATTATTTTTTAGGGATATTTTCTTAAAACCTCTAAACAAAACAAAGGGTTTCAAAAGATAGCTTCTCTTTTGGCGGGTCGATCCGCAAACCCGCAACTCTCTACGGGCTTATCCGCATGAACCTGCAACCCGTAGTGGATAAAAATATTATTCAAAAAAAATAACAAATGATGTTTAATTTTACGGGACGGGGTTATATGGTGCAACGGGTTTAGATCAATATTAATATTAAACAATATATTATGGATGAAATCCTAGAATTAAAAATCAAAATTTAATTATAAAATCATAAACACTAAACAAAATAAACAATATTAACAAAACAAATACAACTTAAAATTTTGCAAAATAATTTTTTAGTTATAAAAAATTGATCCGCGGTGTACCACGGGGTAAAATCTAGATTTAGAAGTTTAAGGAGAAATTTTTTTTAAAAAAATAGCTCCGCGGTGTACCGCAAGAAAAATCTTTCTCCTAAACTGAGGCAAGAAGAAGAAGAAAGCCAAATGTCGTTTAAGTGTATATATAGATATACCATTTAAACCTAAAACACAATTAATATACTCAAAATTATTAATATAGATATATGGATGGTACATTTATAAAATAGGTACAAATATTATATTATATACTCTCTATTAATAAACAAAACTAATTATATTTAGATTTTTTAAAAAAAATTATAGCCCCGCGGTGTATCGCGGGTTCAAATCTATCTATATATACATTTTTGGATCATAACTAGCAAATAAATCCTGAAGTTGAGAAGTATTTACAATGACATGCCACTAGCATTAATTATTTAGATTTATTTTATTTAAGTAAAGATTTTTAATTGAAATTCATTTCTCATATATTTAGCAAAAGTCTCTACAAAATCTTTCCTTATCTATTTAAGTAAAGATTCTGAAATCAAATATGTTCTCAACAATTTACCAAAAATTTATACACAATCTTTTTAAAAATCTTGACTTAGTTAACTTCTGATTTTTATCTGCAAAAAAAAAATTAATTGTAACGAGTGATGTAAAAATCGGGAATGTTGATTCTACAATTTCTTCTACTTCTTTTTTTTCATATAATAAAAATTATTTTTTAGGGATATTTTCTTAAAACCTCTAAACAAAACAAAGGGTTTCAAAAAATAGCTTCTCTTTTGGCGGGTCGATCCGCAAACCCGCAACTCTCTACGGGCTTATCCGCATAAACCTGCAACCCGTAGTGGATAAAAATATTATTCAAAAAAAATAACAAATGATGTTTAATTTTACGGGACGGGGTTATATGGTGCAACGGGTTTAGATCAATATTAATATTAAACAATATATTATGGATGAAATCCTAGAATTAAAAATCAAAATTTAATTATAAAATCATAAACACTAAACAAAATAAACAATATTAACAAAACAAATACAACTTAAAATTTTGCAAAATAATTTTTTAGTTATAAAAAATTGATCCGCGGTGTACCACGGGGTAAAATCTAGATTTAGAAGTTTAAGGAGAAATGTTTTTAAAAAAAATAGCTCCGCGGTGTACCGCAAGAAAAATCTTTCTCCTAAACTGAGGCAAGAAGAAGAAGAAAGCCAAATGTCGTTTAAGTGTATATATAGATATACCATTTAAACCTAAAACACAATTAATATACTCAAAATTATTAATATAGATATATGGATGGTACATTTATAAAATAGGTCAAAATATTATATTATATACTCTCTATTAATAAACAAAACTAATTATATTTAGATTTTTTAAAAAAAATTATAGCCCCGCGGTGTATCGCGGGTTCAAATCTATCTATATATACATTTTTGGATCATAATTAGCAAATAAGTCCTGAAGTTGAGAAGTATTTACAATGACATGCCACTAGCATCAATTATTTAGATTTATTTTATTTAAGTAAAGATTTTTAATTGAAATTTATTTCTCATATATTTAGCAAAAGTCTCTACAAAATCTTTCCTTATCTATTTAAGTAAAGATTCTGAAATCAAATATGTTCTCAACAATTTACCAAAAATTTCTACACAATCTTTTTAAAAATCTCGACTTAGTTAACTTCTGATTTTTATCTGCAAAAAAAAAAATTAATTGTAACGAGTGATGTAAAAATCGGGAATGTTGATACTACAATTTCTTCTACTTCTTTTTTTCATATAATAAAAATTATCTATATATACATTTTTGGATCATAATTAGCAAATAAATCCTGAAGTTGAGAAGTATTTACAATGACATGCCACTAGCATTAATTATTTAGATTTATTTTATTTAAGTAAAGATTTTTAATTGAAATTCATTTCTCATATATTTAGCAAAAGTCTCTACAAAATCTTTCCTTATCTATTTAAGTAAAGATTCTGAAATCAAATATGTTCTCAACAATTTACCAAAAATTTCTACACAATCTTTTTAAAAATCTCGACTTAGTTAACTTCTGATTTTTATCTGCAAAAAAAAAAATAATTGTAACGAGTGATGTAAAAATCGGGAATGTTGATACTACAATTTTTTCTACTTCTTTTTTTTCATATAATAAAAATTATTTTTTAGGGATATTTTCTTAAAACCTCTAAACAAAACAAAAGGTTTCAAAAGATAGCTTCTCTTTTGGCGGGTCGATCCGAAAACCCGCAACTCTCTACGGGCTTATCCGCATGAACCTGCAACCCGTAGTGGATAAAAATATTATTCAAAAAAAATAACAAATGATGTTTAATTTTACGGGACGGGGTTATATGG